ATATATTCATGGAGTAGGTGAAATTCAAGAGAACGTAAAGCGTTTTGTTTCGCCTGATAAGGCTCGGGTTTAATTAATTGCCATGAATTTGCTTGGTATTTATAAAATATCACTATATAAGGGCTACCGTTTAGTTGTAACTTGGGTGATCCATCTCCTCGCCCTTGTAATTACTACACTTATCTCTCCAGAACAGTCATTTCTACTCCAGGTTTATAGAACAGGTAATGGATAATAAAGGCCATTTGTTTTCGGGGTATTAAAACAAGCAGGTATAATTTCACGGCAATAAAAAAATTAAAAAAAAAAAAAAATCCAACCCCCACCTCCCAACTTTCCCCCGTAATATTCCCTCCTCCATCACAACGTTTAACTTTCAATTTAGGGGCGCGTTCATTTGAAGTGGGTTCATTTGGAGAGGTGGGAGGAAGGAGGGAGGGAGGGGAGGGGAGAGGGAGGAAATTAAAGGTATCATTTTCAAGGATATTTCTAATTTATCTCCCGGCTTGGCCCGGGGGTCTCTGAGTCCGGGGCAGGCGCTGCGAGCGCATTTCAGGCTGCGCTTCTTTCTAGTATTCTTTTTTTTTTTTCTTCCCTACAGAACAATCTATTGAATATATTTTTTAATCCCGATTTCCTCCCCAAATAACCTCTTTATGGCGGTGTTGGAGCTGGTGGTGTAAACGCGGGGGTAAACGGGGAATTCTCGCTCCCCGGGCACCCCTACCCTGCCAGGGCTCCTCCCGGAGCTGCTTCCCGAGCTCGGATGAAAATATCCCATTTTTGATCATTATTATAAATTAAAAGGATACACGAGGCTGGCTGGGAAACCACGTAAGACTTAAATCTCAGTTTCCCTGTTGCAAAACAGGTGTGGTCTGATTTCCACCTTCCCTCCCTGCATTTATACATCTCGTCGAGGCGCCGGTTGCTCTTTTATTATTATTAAAAGTTCTGCCCTAAGGAAACACCTCAGACCTCCCGCGCTCCCCTTTCGCTTCGCGGGGGGAAATCCCAGTTTAATTCCCCAAACCCGGAAAGGTTCGAAAGGGAAGGGGGGGGTGAAAGAAGGAAAAAAAATTAAATTAAAAAAATAAATCTCCATCCTCGTTGCTGCCAGATTGGAGAGGGAGAGCTCCGGGGGGGAGAAGGGGGGATATACCCGGGGGGATGAGGGGAGAAAAAAAGAAAAAAGAGCCCTAAAAATTGCGGAGCGGCGCGGAGGGAGCGCGGCGCGGGGTGAACCGCGGGTCAAAGCGGCTCTCGGCGGCCGCCGCGCTGCGGACACGCCTCGCTGTTTAACAAAGACTGACAAACTATGAGATTAATACCAAAACTTGCGGGTTTCCCACCCCAAAATGCTCAGAGGGCCTCCTGGCGCTGCCAGGAGCAGTTCCGCTCGCCTGGAAGGACAATAGTTGGGTTTCTGGTGGGGCGGCGGGGGAGGGGGCGCGGACAGAGCCCACCAAAACAGAAAAACAAAACAAAACAAAAATATAGAAGAAGAAGAAGAAGGAGAAAGAGGAATTAGTGTTCTCATGGAGAATTAATGCCACTGAAAAAGCGACACGGAGAGAGAGAGCGGGACAAGCCGGGCTGGAGCGGGGAGGGGGCGGCGGGGGGGGTTTGGGGGGTTTCTGTAGGATTCCGCCTCCAAAACCTCCCCAAGTTTTGAGGGAGCGCCCTAAACCCCCTCGGGAATTCCTCCGGGGAGAGGAGCCGCGTTTTGCCAAGGTAGGTACGGCCGGCGGGGTTACACCTGGGCGGTGCTGGGAGGTTTGAGGGCACCCCCCGCTTGGTGCCCCTTCTTTTGGGGTGACCCCAGGGGCGCTCAGAGCAGGAGCGGGGGGTTCCCCCCCTGCCCCGGCAGGTGCCTTGACTGGGATTTTGGGCAGGGCCGGGGGGGCTCCGCAGGGCAGAACAGGCCGGGGGGTCCAGGGGAACCCCTCCCGCGATCTCTTCCCGCTTTGAACTGGAGAAAAACCCGCGGAAAACTCGCCGGGAGGAACTTGCGCGGGTTCCCAGCAAAAGGTGCGCGGAGCAGGGGTGGGGGGGTACGGAGAGGGGCTGCCTTTAATTCGGGATCTGAGGCGGCCGAGGGGGAGATTTCTTGGAGGTGCGAGGGGGGGAAAGGATTCTGGTAGACGCTAGGGGTGCTGGTTCGCAAACGCCAACCCCGTGTCAGCGGGAAGGGAAATTAAAACCGATTTTTTTTTTTTAAAGGATGTGGGAGGGGGGTAAAAATGCAGAATAGGCCTAGTTACTTCTAGTCAGGCTCCTCTCCTCGTCTAGGAGATAGTTACGGTGCCGGCTGCGAGAAAATACAATAAAATAAATCAGCGAGGGGATTGGAAAGGAGGAATAAAATCCAAGAGGAGGAGGGAAAAAAAAATAAAAGGAGCTCTAATGGGATTGGTTGTGTAGCGTTATTTTATGGCATCCGTCTCCACGTTGTACAAGCAGATTAGATTTGGCTTCTTACTTTTATGGCGGGTTTTAGAGGGGAAGGTAAATTTGAGGGTCTCTGTCGGCTCCCCAGCACGGTGGAGGTGCTGCTTTGGGAGGTGGGAAAGTCCTCCCTGGACAAAAAGAGCCTTCGCTTCGCTGCTTTGGCTGGAATTTCGGGGGTTATTTACGCGCATAAAATGATTTTGGGGTTGTCCGTGTTGCGTTTGGACGTGTTTCTTAAAACGCTGCTTAGGTTTTTCTGTTTCTGTGGAAATTACAGGTTTTAGCAGCAAATCCGACCGTTCACCTTAAAGTACCTGAAAAATTTCGCGTCATCACGAGCGGGGAGAGCGGCGGGGGTTTCGTTCTTGGCCATAACTGTCTTTTGTTAGGAAAAATGGAGGAGTTTGTGGAATCTATCGAAGATATTTACAGGAATTTTGGAGCAGAGGAAAGGCAGCTTTTCTCTGATAGTGTCTCTGCTGCGGCATTTAAATGCAATTAATTCGGGCGATGCTTTGACCAAAAAATGTTCCGCCTTTTGAAATACAAAGGGGGGAAAAAAAAGGAAGAGGAAAGGGGGGTGCTATACTTTTAATCTCTTGGGCAACTGTAATTTTAAACGAAATCTCAACATGATGCTACCCTCATTAGTTCCGAATGAAGGTTCATTACCTAGACAGTATGAATATTTTATTGCTTTATATCCCTTTTTCGGAAATGAAACGCCTTTGATCTTTTTCTCGGGTTGTAAAAAGAATTGCCTGTCATTAAAAAAAAAACCTGTCGTCCCATCTGCCTTTACATTCTGTATTTCTTTTCATCTGTTTATTTCTTTTTTTCCTTTCCTTTTTTTTTAATACGATTTATCTGCGCACGCAGAAACCCAAACCTTGGTTGACCTCTAAGAACGAAAAATGGATTAAATCTTTGCGCTGCGTATCAGAAAATAATCGCGAGGGTTTCGGGGTGGGGTGGGCACAGAGCTGTGACATTTTACTTTCAAAAGGCGGTTATTTGGATTCGAGTCTCGTTGTGCTCCTACACTCAAATATTCAGTCCAGAAGCTGATTTTTTTTAGATGAGCGATAAATTAATGTACAAGATACGGAGGAGAGGGTGGAAAACTTCCAGTTTTTCCTCTCCTAGTATCAGCTATTCGCCTGCTGAGTTGGTGCTTTAATTAATCGTCTTTCCTCTCAAGAGTGAATATTTTAACCGGTTTCACCTCTAGATTAATTCTTGATCTCTCGAGCCACAAAACTTTCCCCCCTCCCTGCCCCAGAAGAGAATTATGGCGGTAGGAGAAGATCTCTGACCGAGGAGGACGCATCTGTCTTCTATATGTACCCTGTAGATCCGAATTTGTGTAAAGGAAGTTGGGTCACAAATTCGTATCTAGGGGAATATGTAGTTGACACAAACACTACAGGTCACAAACCCAGAAGGAATTATCCTCCCCCCCCCAAAAAAAAGCCACCCAGAACCCTAAATAAAGGGGTGAAAACAAGGGCTTAACCAGAAAAGCGATTTATAGCTCAAAAGAAATGCTTTGGATTTGACCTCAGCTCAACTCCGGCGCTCCCGCGATAAAACTTTATCATCACTTGGAGATAAAATCTGAGCCGCCAAGGGGATGGGGGAAGGGGGGTGGGCGCGGGCGTTATTGCTGCGATTTGAGAGCCGGGATCCCACCAGCGCTTTAATTCGTGTAATCTCAGCACCGATACAAAAAAAATATATATATTATTGCTTTCTTCCCTGCCGCTCGTGAGGAGCTTATCGAGCGTTTCGGGACTAAAGGCGAATTTGAGGAATTAGGGGTGGCTTTTGAAAGGCTGCTGGTTCGCTCTGGCTTTTAAAGCGTCTTTATTACGAGAAGGGCGAGGCGAAGATGCATTAGGACTCGGGCTAATTCGCTTTTGTAATTGTTCATCAAGTCCTTGATTTCTTGCTCGGAGGACGGGCTCCTTTTTTTCCATCGGTGCGTGGGAAAACAGTCAATCTCGGAGCCCGGCTAAATGTGATTTAGGAGCCCGGGTACCCCGAATTAGCTGATGAATTTCTTATCGATCCCAAACGAGCCCTATTCATCTCTGCCAGGCTCGGGGCGCAATGTCCCTTCCCGGATCACCTTAGCGGGGAATGAGATGCAGCCCCCGCCCGGGGGGGGCCTCCATGTGTGCGGGGGCAGCGCTGGGGAGCCGCCGCCAACCCCCCGAAAAATCATATTTTTTGTACCTTATAGTCTAATTATCCTTTTTTTTTTTTTTTTTTGGAGGGGAAGGGGAAAAGGATTTTTTATTTTCCCACCCTCCCCTTTCTTTCCTTCGGTTCCCCGAGCCAGGACACACCCCCGAGGGGTGTGGGCCCGAGGGGGGGTGTCGGTGCTCGCCCACGGGGCGCTGCCGGAGCCCGGGGCCGGCGGGGCCGGGGGCGGCCGGAGGGGAGCGGGTGCCCCCGGGCCGCCTCCCCGGGGATGCTGGGGGGCCCCGGGAGAGCCCGGGCTGGGCAGGTTTCCTTATCCGGGGCTCGCCGTGCCCCTCGCCATTGGCCCGCGCTGTCACATGGACTCAACTTTGTTCACTTGACAGTAAGTAGGAGGGTTCCACGAAACAGGAAAACGAGGAAAGGGGGGGACAGGAATAAATTTTAGGAGAGAGAGAGAGATATATTTTTTTTTCCGTGTGTGCAATTCTAAGAAATTAATGGCCATGAGCTCGTTTTTGATCAACTCCAACTATGTGGACCCCAAGTTCCCACCCTGTGAAGAGTATTCCCACAGCGATTACCTTCCCAATCACTCGCCGGAATATTACAGCAGCCAGAGGCGAGAGAGCACTTTCCAACATGAAGCGATGTACCAGCCGCGGTCAGCCTGCAAGGAGCAGCTCTACTCGTCCTGTCAGAGCTCCGGCCACCAAGCAGCGGTGTTATCCCCCCGGGGTCATGTCCATCCTCCGGCCGGATTGCAGAGCCACCTCTCGGAGCCAAACCAGCCCTGCGAGCCGGTCACCCCCAGCCCGCCACCCTCCTGCAGCCAAAACTCTCTGAACCAAAGCCCTTCCAATTCCTCGTGCAAAGAGCCGGTAGTTTACCCCTGGATGAAAAAAGTCCATGTAAGCACGGGTAAGTGAACTAAAGTGGCTTTGCTTTATAGTAAGTAGCACCTCAAAGTCTTGTAGAAATCTTATTGCACCAGTTGTAAAATAACCATTCGCGGAGATTTACGATCGCCTGTTTGCAGAGCGGTATAATTACATCCTCCATAAATTTTTATTGCTCTGCTTGGCCATGTGCCTTTGAAGTCTCTGTTACCATCCTCCTCCAATTTCTTGCAGGCTACTTTTTTTATGGCTGTTGAATCTTCATAAGTTAAGTTTTATGTTTTTGTAATTTGTATTTAAGTGGCGGGTTGAGTAAACTTTTACTATTTTCCTTTCCCCTCCCCTCCCCCTTTTCTTTTTTTTAGGGTGATATTTAATAAATAGGAGTGTCTGTGTTTGCCTGTTTGCACGTGTGGAGGGGGAACTTTAAAAGATTTGGGGATAACCGAGCGATGCTCTGGTAGAGCTGTGTGTATATATGAGTATATACACACGCAGAGGGCACGGAAAATGTGTCTGGGGGACCTTATAAAAACGTTTAGACAGGAATACACGTCAAGCAACGAGGATGGAGGTGGAGATTCGCAGATAGGTTGTGGGTATATTTTTAGAAGGTTTGCCGTGTATTTTTTTTAGTGTATCCCCCCCACCGAAAGAATGTGTGATGCTTTTTTTTCTTTTTTTTTGATTTTTGAGGGGGGGAAAGGACCCGTTAAAGGAACAGCTCGGTAATTCTTCTGCTCTTTTTTTTTCCCCTTTTTCTTTTTTTTTTTTTTCCTCCTTTGTGTTTGTTCAGTAAACCCCAATTACTCAGGAGGGGAACCGAAACGCTCCCGCACAGCCTACACCAGGCAGCAAGTCCTGGAGCTGGAGAAGGAATTTCACTATAACCGCTATCTCACCCGGAGGCGCAGGGTCGAGATCGCCCACTCCCTGTGCCTCTCCGAGCGCCAGATCAAAATCTGGTTCCAGAACCGGAGGATGAAATGGAAAAAAGACCACAAGTTACCAAATACCAAGATCAGGTCTAACCCCTCCGGCTCCTCCGCCAGCCTGCAGATCCCACAAGGAGGATCTCAGAGCCGATCCCATGGACCAGCCGGCAGCCTATAACTGTTCCCGGGATGTTTGGAGTGCGTGTTTGTGGGTGTGAGTCCTGTGTGTGTGTAGGGAACACATGATATTATTTTTTTTTTGAAGCGAGGGAAGGAGGGTGCTCTTTATTTATAGGGGGAACAGAGGGAGACTCAGCTGCAACAAAGCAGAGCCGCGCTGCTGTGCCTCTCTTCCATTAAAAGGAGGCTGTAGATAGTAGTTTTCAGATTTGGCTAAGATGGATCCTTGTTTCATCTTTAATCACGCCAAGCTCTGCCCCATTTGTCATGTTTACTCTCCCGTACAAAGGATGGACCTTATGTCTGCTATTACCTCGACAACCAGCGCTCACTTTAATAAATGAGGCTCAGTTTCTTCAAGACGAACTGGATTTTCTACACCCCCTCTTCCCCCCACCCCCCCCGGCCACCCCTCCCCATCCCTTTCTTTTCTCCCCTCCGAGCCACAAACGGAAAGTTTCTCCGGCCCGGCCACCCCAAAGGACCGGGCGGTTCTACCGCAGCAACGGAGAGACAAAAAAACCCACCCCAAAGAGACAAACCCACCCCAAAGCAACAAACCCACCCCAAAATCCCCTCCGGGCGCGGCCCGCGGGGAGCGCGGAGCTCTCGGACGCTGGGGGGGGGACAAAAAAAAGAGCAAAATCGGGTCAAGTAGGTGGTGGACAAAGAAAGGAAGAGGATGGAGAGTGATATAAACCCCGCTCCTTTGGGTTTTTTTCCTTTGTTGGTTGTTTTGGGATTTTTTTTGAGTCCACAGGTTAATTGTGAGTCCGGGAAAGGGAGGTGGGAGGGGGGAAAGCGGGGGGGGTTCAGGTTAGAAACTGGGTGATGAACTGCGGCACCTGGAGTCACCCCCGCGGCCTCGGGGCAGAGGAGGGGGGAAAGGCTCCTCTCCCGCTGCCTCGCCGGGTTTTGTACCGAAAATGTGAATTATTTTGGCGGAGGGCTGAGGTTTTGCCCCTCCTGGGGTGAGCGGGGACTCGGTTCGACCCCCCCCCCCCTCCGGCCGCCTCCATCCCTCCCTTTGTCCTTCGGGATGTCCAGGATTACCTGTAAATAGCAGAGAAAAGGAACAACACCACCAACAACAACAAAAAAAAGCGCGGTTGAAAATAAATTTTCTCATTGTTGAATCTGCCCCCGTGTGGTTTTTTTTTTTTGGTTTTTGTGTCTGGAGAGGGGGGAGGGGATGTGGGGGGGGTTTGTCTTTTTGTTCCGCTGAGGGGAGAGGAAAAAAAAATACATATTTTAAAGCAATTAATTAAACAGCACGTTTCTTTTTTTTCCAGGGGTTTCTGTTGTCAATGGCACAGCCTCAAGTCCCTAATGAAAACAAAAGATGTTTGACTAGGGTATATCAGCTTTAAGTACTGCTAAGCCGTACATATTATGATTTATTTGTTCAAAGCATATATTAATATGCTCTTCCCAAACCGGGCTCAGACAAAAACCGGGGCGGTCATTAGCGCTTTGCTTCGCTGCGAGGGACGGAGGGAGCGTTGCATTTCTCTAGAGAGCTTTCTGGATCTCAAAAAAAAAAAAATCAAATAAAAAAAAAATCTCCTTCTCCAAGGTAGTTAATGCATTAATGAGTCTAATTTTTGCACAGATGTTTCTCGGTGTTTGCAGGTTTTCGGTGTATTTTTATATTACAAAGGAGCTGGCTCCTGCGATAGCTCATAGCCTGACAAGCAAATAGATAATCAAGAAGACAAATGGCTTCTTTTGTGAGCCGCAGCTCTTGTATTAATTTTCATTTTCTTTCTCATAGAAAAGTATCGAAAATACTGTTCAGGACGAAATAACATTCCAGCTCTAAGTTAGAAATATATATATAAAGAAAAGGACTATTGTGCTCAGGGGGGTGGAAGCCTCGGCAGCAGCTGAAGAAAATAATCATTTTCTTATACTTGCCTCTTATAAAGAAAAAAAAAATAAAAAAGGGCTTTGCTTATTTGTTCAATGTTCGAGGAATTCTCCGAGACCCCCCAACAGGACCGAAATATTCCCCTGAATTATTCAGAGACAAAGACAGGGCTTGAAATATTTAAACAGAGTGTGCGTTTGTGTGTTTTATTCCTCTCGTTTGCAGTTAAGTCACCGCGCGGCCACCTTGCAAATAAAGTGTCCCCAAAAGTCCCCCCCCCGCCCCCGCTTCGAACAAAGGGCCGCTGGATTTTCCTTTGTGTTGACATTTTAGCACTTAAAAATAATATTAATGTAATCACACGGCGTATGTGACACCCGCTGATATAAAAGAAATGGATTTATGGCTGGATTTTTGTGAACTCTCGCGTTTTTTTAGAGGTAGCAACTGCAAACCTTTAAAGTTTCTTTTTTATTTACTTTTTTTTTCTTCTTTTTTTCCAGGGAGGGTGGCAAGGGCTGTATTTTATTGCGATGCCTGAAGGTTGGGGTGTTTTGTTGTTGTTGCATTTTATTTTGCTATTTCTCTCTTTGATCTGCTGAGGTTGTAAAGAGGGTGTTATTTTCAGGATAGGCCTTCTAAGAATGGCAAAAAATGGTTGTTTAAAAAAAAAAAAAAGGGGGCATATGCTTCCAGGAATGCGGGGTCTATAGAAGCAAATCAAAGCTGGAAAGTATGAATAGAATAGAAGGGGCAGAAAAGAAGATTTCTATAGGACCTAAAAGTTCACAGCCATTATAAGCAGACAGAAGCCAAGAAAAATGCGAGAATTATACAGAAAATCATTAATCACTTCTTTTCTTTAAATACTTATCCTTTTCCCATTGTTATTCAACAGCAAATCTCCGCAGACCGTCTGTTGGGAAAAAAGCACCCGGAGCCCTCCAAGAATCTTCAGGGGGAAATAATAATATTAATAATAAAATCTGGATCGTAAAGGTGAAAGCTTTATTTTTGGGGGAGAAAAAACCAAAAATCCAACGGCCCCCCCCCGAGCCACCCCCTCCCCCCAGACCTCTCACTTTTGGAAGAAAACCACCCAAACCATGAGGGCCGTCTCTGGGCCGTTGGAAAAAGGATGTGGGAGCGAACCAGGTAACGGAGCTGCTCTCTTGGCATGCATTTCGGATCGGTTTATTGCCTCCTTTCACCCGAAATCTGGGGCGAAAGCAAGGGAAAAAAAAAAAAAGGAGCTAAAAAAGAAAAAAAAGGGGGGGGGAGAGAGGCAGAAAAAGAAACAACCCGAGAATTCTCGTGCGGGGGTTTTATTCCTTCTGTCTCCTCGTTTTATTTTGACCGATGCGAGCGAGGGGAGCGGGCAGGAGGGAAAGTTTGCAGGGGGGTTACTTGTGGAGATAGTTTTGGGGGTTTTTTTCCCCTCCTCGATTTGGGGTTTGGGAGCGTTTGGGGCTCGGCCCTGCTGGGCTTTGCTGCGGGATCCCCGGCCGGGCTGGTGCGGGGTGGTTTCGGGGGTGTTTCTCTCTCCTTTGTTCATTGTTTTAAGTTTTTTTTTTTTCCTTTTGTTTTTTTTTTTCCCGAGAAAAATCTCGCACGGGATGGTCAGGGCAGACTGTCCCCAAGGGGTGCGGGTGTCCCGGTTTAAGGACGTCCCAGAGACCGCGAATATTCCGATTTAAGGCCGTGTCTTTGTCCCGGGACTGGGGACGTCCTGGAGGTGCTGCCGCTCCCGGGAGCGCTGCGGGGATACGATGGGAAGGGGGGAAAATTGGGGAGACAAAATCCAGCGCTGGCAAGGCCCGGCTCGGGGGAGAGAGTTCACGCAGAGGACACGTTTTCTAGGCGATTAGCTGGGTATTATAGCCGGGGACTGACCTCGCAAACCCCTTGACCTCTCCGAGGCTGGACATTGTGCTGGGCGACAGCTCAGCCCCCAGTTCAGCAAAACTTTGCGTGTGCGGGGTCCCGGCCCGAAAAAACCCAGGGTTTGAGCCGTGGAATCAGGGAACCAGGGCCGGGAGAAAAACGGGGGGGACTGAAGGGCTTAGAAGTCGTTTTATTTCTGCTTTCTCACTGTTTAATCGTCCCGTAGCCACATAAACCGCTTCCCTTCTCCTCTGGCTGCGAAATCCCTCGGTGTTTGAGCCTGGATTTGCTTTGTGAGAGGGAAAACGGGCAGGAGAGAGGGCGGTGGGCGCGGGGAACCGCCGCGGTTTGGCTTCGCAGCGAGGCCGGGCTGCTCTCGCCTTCCCAAAAATAATTTTGGGGGTAAAAAAACCCCAACCCCAAGCGGCGAGCGCAGGAGCGAAGCCGCGGCCTCGCCGCGTCCATCGTCTCATCTCTCCTCTCATTTTCAGAAATTCCTTTGTTTCCGAGAGTCCCCTCTCCAAACCCCCCCCTCCCCGCCTTTCTCTGTCCCCCCCCCGCACCTCCTCCCGCTTCGCCCCTGCCCACGGCGCTCTCAAAAGCTCCTCTGTGCCCGCGCGGAGCGGCGCGGAGCGGGCGCGGAGGATCCCCCCGGGCCCAGGGAATCCCGGGAAGCCTCTTCCCGGCACCCCCGAGCCGCCGCCCCCATCCCAAACCCCTCAAACGCCGAGCCACTGGCGTCCTTTGTTACCTCTACATCCCCAAATTTGATTTTTAAATAGAATTTTTAGGTGAGAAAACCCCACCGGGTTGGAGGTATAGGAGAGCAGGGGTAGAGAGGAAGGGGAAATAAATATATATATATTTATATATGTGTATCCATGGATATAAGAGGGGTTCTGCCTGGGAAGGGGGGCCTTGGGAGAAGCGGGGGGGTGGGATTCGCGCTGGCCCGGTGTGGCACCGAGTCTCTTTAAAGGCTGCTCAGCTCTGGGAGCGGCTTGGGAGTTTCTCAGCCCCGGTGACAGATTTATGATCCGCAATAAGAACGGCGTGTTTAAATCTGTAAATCAATCTCGCTTTCTCACTATATAAACGTTCATTTTATCTTCAGAAAGAGAACGGCTTTGATCACGGCACCTCGGAGGGCGAAGCCGCTGTTTATGGCCGCGTTTCCGACCCTTTGAACCGGGGGCTTTAAAAAAAAAATCGCCAAACCCGAAATGGTGCTTCTTTTGCATGAAACAAACCCAAAAATGCCAGCGGAGGTGGAGGGGGGAGTATCTGCTCCGTTTGCTGCCTGGGATGGCTCTGTGCCATTTTTTTTTTCTCGTGTCCCTTTTTTCCCCCCCTCTTTTTAAATTTATTTATCCGATTCCATTCACAGGGATGCACTTTTAATGACAGGAAAAAAAAAAAAGAGGGAAAAAAAAGAAAAGAAGTGGTTTTATGAAGTGAAAGTTGCGGCTTCTGAATTGACCTGAAGTCTTCATAAAAGCCCCCCCTCCCCTCCCCGAAGTTTCCTCCCTCGTGGAAATCCCCCCCCCCAGCGACGGGAACTCCTTTTAATCGCATTTTTTTTCCCCCTCGCTTCCTCCCACACCTTGAGCGAACGTCTTTCTTCCGACAACTGCTCGCACTCGATAAAATCGATTCAGAAATAATCGAGGGCTTTCGAGAACCAAACGCTTCCCCCGCTCGCTCCTTCCTGGCCGGGGGGGGCCCAGCCCACCTCGTCCAGCCCCTTACGTTCGACTTTAAGAGGGAAACACCCCCCCATTTTTAGGCTTTTTAAATTCATTTTTGAGTTTGATATAAGCTTCCTCCGGGCTTTACCCCGCCGGGGAGGAATCTCTGCTCCCGGGGG